TACTTTGGCGATGAGTCTTAGTTGAAAGAAGCCACACCTGACAACTGAGGAAATTTGCAGACGGTGTCTGCCTCCCGAACCCAGAGTGGGAGCTGGTTCCACAGGAGAGGAGCCTGGTAGCTGAAGGTTCTACCTCCTGTTCTCCTCTTACAGACTCTAGAACCCAGAGTGGGAGCTGGTTCCACAGGAGAGGAGCCTGGTAGCTGAATGCTCTACCTCCTGTTCTACTCTCTACAGACTCTTGACACATGTCTGCCCTGGATATTACAGGTGGGCAGTGGTCCTCCTGGGCTCCTTGTACCTCCACAGCCGGGGAGTTGCTCTCAAAGCAAGCGTAAAAGTTGGAGCCCTAGTACTGAGACTCCATTTTGTCCCTGTACCTTCTCTTGGCACTGCTGATAGCACTCTGGAGCGCTAACCTGGACTTCCTGTTCTCCTCAAGATCACCTGAGTTGAAGGCGACAGTCCGTGCTCTAAGTTTGGCATGGACGTCCCCATTAATCCAGGGCTTCTGATTTGGGAATGTACATACAGGAATCCTCGGTACAACATCATCGATACATTTGCTGATGTAGCAGATGACCGTGAATGTGTTGATGTTGTTGTCCTTGAACACACACCAGTCCGTAGTACTGAAGCAGACCTGTAGAGCTGAGTATGATTGGTTGGACCACAGCTGAATGGTCCCAGTCACCGGCCTGTCACATTTGGGTTTCTGCCTATAGGAAGGCAGCAATAGAACTTAGACATGATCTGATTTGCTTAATGAGGGGTGAGGGAGGGCCTTATATGCATCCCGGAAGGGAGTGTGAACATGGTCGAGTGTGTTTGTGCCACGCGTAGGACAGCTGATGTGTTGATGGTATCTCGTCAGGACTTTCCTCAGCTTGGCGTTGTTGAAATCGCCGGCCACAATGAATGCCGCCTCCGGCCGTGAGGTCTCTATTCTGTCGATAACAACATGCAGCTCGTCCAGGGCCTGGTTAGTGTCGGAATGTACACGGCTGTTATAACGGCCGATGTTAACTCCCTCGCGAGGTAATAAGGCCGGCATCATTAGGTGCTCCAGGTCCGGAGAACAGCCCGAAGAAATAATCTCCACGTCTGAGCACCACAGGTTGTTCACCATGCAGCAGACACCTCCTCCCTTGCTCTGCCCAGAGTTTATTGTCCAATCCTGGCGATGAACGGAGACCCCCTCAGGAACAATGGTGGATTTCGGGATCAAGCCAAGTCTTCGTGAAAACTTTAACGTTACAAAACTTAATGTCCCGTTGTAAAAACATCCTGCTCCGAAGAAGACATTTGCACGCACGCACGCACGCACACAATACGGTTCATTCTTATTGTACAGAGATCATATTGTTTATGAATTATGATTTTACTGTGAGTGCATTTGTTCAACTGTTTATATGTTTTGTTGGGTTGGGAAGAAGTTACAAAGTAGGACTTTCTTAGATAAATAAGGAATGATGGAGAACAACGTAGAGATGGACGTCTATTTCAGTTGGCAATCGCCTTCTCCTTGCTTTCAGCCTTTCAAGTCCCCTTTGCTATGAGAAACAACAATCTTCAAGCTGCAACCTACAAATTGACTAAAAATGGCAAGTTTTGAGTTGGATCAATCACACATGTTTTTTACCATTTACTCTGAGTAGAATTAGCCATTTTAATGACTGTGATCACCTCCCCAATTGCATATGGAAAGCATTTTTTCTCTCCTCTAGAGGAACGATAATAGGGGCAGCCAAAGTCTGGCTATGTGAGACTACTATAACTCTACAAGACTTAGATGGTGACAGGCCACAAGTATCCATTCAAATGTTGATAAAATCTGAAAGAAAAAAAAAAGATCTAGAAAAATGCAACTTAATACATGCTTCCATTAACTAATGCTTTATGAATATTAGAAGAACACGTAAAATATACAGGTCATATATAGTTGTGTCTTTGCTGTATTCTATTGAATACAACTTTTCCCCCTCAGCCATGCATTGAAATTGTTTTAATATTTAGGTTTATTACATATCCTTCATTCAAGAGGCCAAAATCATGTTTTTTTTAGGCCACTGTGACCTTTACAACTGAATTCAAATCAGTTAATCATTGAGTACAATTGTATTGTACGAAATCAAAATACATTCCCGACGGGCAGTCCTAATACATCACAGTCACAGGGACTTAAGGTCACTCTGACCTTGCCCTTTTGACCTTCAACCATCAATAGCCAATCAGTTCATCTTCAAGTGCAAGTGAACATTTGTAACAAATGTGAAGAAATTCCCTTGAGATATTGCGTTCACAGGAACGGGAAGGACGGACCGATAGACAGACAAACCAAAAACATTGGCTTTCGTTGGAGCAGAGGCATATACATTTGTTTAGGAAAGTTATTTAACAAACATTGTAACCATATTTTGTTTCAGCTTCTCTAATATGATAATTGGATGATTTTCTCTCAACTGACAGATCAGGAAGATTATCATCAGAATAATCGATAATGAAAATAATCCTGAATCACAGACCTGATTGTAACCTTTAAAAAAAAGAAACAATCACATCAGAAATATTAAATATAGTATATGATGCATGTTAAAAGTAGAAGCTTCCTCAAGGGTTAACATTTCATAGTGACATTTCAGAGATGAAATGTGGTGCTTTTTCCCCATTTCAGATTGAATGATGCAGACAAGTAACGCTCATGAGATGGTAAACTGCTGTAAACCCTCCTGCCTCTGTCAAACCAACCCTCTTTCCCTTCACACCTTGTTGGCCACTGCGTTGACGTTAGGCCTGGCGTCATATATGGTTAGCTTGGTAGTGTCGTTTGCCTCCCTGATCAGGTCCAGATAGCGCTCATCATCCTTGTTCCTTTTACCAGACATGCCAACCAGAGGCTGACTGCAACGGACAATCACTGCCTGGTTCTCTCTGTGGATCCATGATAGAACCTGAGGCAAAAAAAGTCAGATGAGACATTTGCAAATGTGACTGGTTATTATAGGTAATGGTATCACTGTCAGATAACTTTTAATGGCTTCCGGGGCAACGGTCAGAGTTTAGGATTGCTGCTACAAACAATTTGACTTCTGAACCATACTGTCTCTTACCAATTAAGACAGTGTCAGGGCTACATATTTATTTAAAATGTGTAAACAGACAAAGTCAGCGTGAACCTGTCTCCTCTACTCCAGCTCTGCTCACCTGTGTGTGTCACTTTTCCCCCCATACACACAGAGCAGAGAGAAACTTAACTGTGAATGCAGTACAGACTCTCACACTGAGCAATGTCAATGGATGTCATTTCTTAAAAGGTTTCAGCACATTTTTACAATTACACTATTACTGACAATCATAATAATTTTGGTCACTATAATCAAGATCTAAAATGTTCACACTGTTTGATATCTATTTTAGACCAGAGGCCCTAAAAGTTTGCTGGTTGCCCCCAAAGACTTCGTTGTCAGATGATAGTGATGTACTCCAAGACTATACTCTGTTGCTTACCGGTATGCGTCCTCTTGACCTGAAGGCTGCAACTCTTCTGAGGTCCTCCTCTTTACTTTTAAAGGGTACAGCCAGTACAGTAGGATAGGTGTCGCACAGCTCATAGTTCTTATTAATGAATGTAATACGCCACTTGTTATTAGGTAAGCCCTACAAAAAAAGACAAGATTATCATTAGAAATAGATATTTTTACACAACCCACTGATTACAAAATTATATAGAGTAGTGTGAGAATCAATGTGTGGGAATCAATGTCCATACACTGTACTTGTCCTCCTTACCTGGCGTCTGAACTCTTCTATGGGTTTGTAGACATTCCAGCCATTCTCCTCATACTTCTCCTGAGTTACATATGCAAACACAGGCTGCATGCAGGGGAGAGAAGAAGACTTTTATTGACAAACTACAGTGTTATTATAGCAGCAGGAGCAGCAGCAGCACAGTGACCCTGAAAACAAACACACACATCAGATCAGTGGCGGCCTTTTAACAATTAGCCTACCGGCTAGATGTTAGAGGCTCTGAATCATAAAAAATGAAAGAGGAGCAATAGAAAAAACTTGTAAGAACAATAGCATTAACAACCTCCTGTTTGTTTTTTCCCGCATAAGATTTTGTTCATTCAATTTATTTCAACCATGAAAAAGATTTCGTTGTCTCATTTCATTTGCCAAAGTTGGCGAGACACTGAACCCCAAATTGCCTCTGACAGCTGTCGTGCCGGCAGTGTGTGAGTGATGTGTGATCAGGAAATTGATGCACTGTATAAATGTGCGTGTGTGTGTGTGTGTGTGAATAAATATCAAAACTGTACTGTAAAGTGCATTGAATGGTCATCAACACTAGAAAATTACTATATAAATACATACCATTTACCATAAAGGTAGCCCGTAAAACATATAGTACATAAATACATACACACATATATATTTATAAATAAACACATACATACACTATTTGGGATTCCAGGTCTCAACTGATCTGGGACTCTCGGATGGTTACAAGGAGAAGCTGGAACAGATAACTCCGCCGATGTCTAAGAACGAAGTGCAGAAAATCTTGGGACTGTGTAACTATGTGAGAGACCATGTGCCAAGCAACCAGAAATACCTCATGCCACTGTATGCATGTCTAAAGAAGAAAGAGAATTCTAACAAAGACTGGGTTTGGACTGCAACTGATCACCACCACCTTGACAAACTGAAAAAGGCCATCTATGCAGCTGTATGCTTAGGCCCAAGAAGCCTGACCACAAGGCTTACAGCAGAGGTCAGTTGGGGATGAACATAATGATATGGTGAAGGTGAACAATAAAGTTGAGGGTGTTGTAGCTATCTGGAGTTAAAAGTTGTCCACAGTGGCAAAGAAGTATCTGCTTGAGGAGAAATAACTGTCTGTCCTGGAGTAGCGGAGTGCCCTGAAAGATTTAGTACAAGGCCAGGGAATTAAAGTCATCACCCAGAGCCAAGTTCTTCGGTTCCTGAAGAAAGGTACACTGATGGAAAAGGGACAAGATAATACGACCTACTGGGGCTTTATTCTCAAGCAGAATGGAACTGAATGGTCTCAGCAGAAAGGAAAAGCTCCTGGCAGTGCCCAAGCAGGTGAAGTTACCGCTGTGAGGAAAGGACTGCTTGAGCTGGACAAGCGCAAGATAAAGAGTGATCCCATACAATTTTACATAATTCAGGCTCTCAAATAAGACCTGGACATTTGGATTGAAAATGGCTTTGGGGGGTGCCAAAGGAAAAATGGTAGCCCACCAGGACTTTTGGAGGAAAGTAACCAACTACAGCTGAATATGGACCTAGATGTGGTGTACCAGAAGGCACACATTAAAAAAGGGCACACTGGCAAGGGAATAATGAAGTGGATCGAAGTGCAGCAGAGAATATTTGTGGTCATATAGTGGGAGGAAATGCCCATGGGAAGGGTAGCCCCTAATTAGATCTGAACTCTGGGAACTAGATATCCTTCACTCTCTAGGGGTGGGGGAAATATCAGATTCTTAAATGCATCGCAATTCAGACGTGGACGATTCTGAATCGATTCACAAACGTCCAAATTTCGATTATTTAAATAAAGTAATACAGACGGTTCTAAAATGCGGAACTAAGAAGCGCGGTACGCATCATCTCTGGCACACTATGGGGAACGCACCTGAAGTGGACACGCCGAACAGAGGAAAACAAACATAATGGCTTACCGCAGCTACTCATCTCGCTGTGAGATACGAACAGCTCCTTTTAATTTAAAAGCAAACGTGCAGAAACACTTCGGCTTCTACAACGGCGACAGCGGAAGCGAACTGGACAAGAACCGGGTTATATGTAAGCTGCGTTGCGCTAAAATAAAATACTTGGCAACACAACAAACATGAGAAGCCATGTAACTCGATTCCACCCGACGGAGGAGACGGGGAGACGGCAGGCTGTTGTTGCTGTGACTAGTGGCACTACCGACCAGAGAACAATCGAGGAAGCAATTAGAAAGCTGCCACCCTCATCAGAAAAGGCGAAGCGAATTACTAGGTCCATCGCGGCATTTATTGCCAAGGATTTGCGTCCGTATTCCGTCGTGGAAAATCAGGGATTTCGAGCACTTCTGCATACATTGGAGACCAGATACACCATCCTGACGCTATTTCACCAACACGTCCATCCCGACACTCTACAACTGTACTGCACAAACTTTGTTTACATTTTTTCTTAAATGTGTATAAGGACACATTTAAATTTTTGTGATTCAAGATACCTGTTACCTTTGGTACTGTACAACGAAGTTGTAACTTTCCAGATTGCACGCATTTCCATTAGTTTAATAAAATATAATGGAAATTAATTCAACTCTTGTTTCTTATTACAAATGCACTGTTTTTAAAAATTGCAAGTGATGAATGTGTATTCAGTGAGACAAAAAGAAATGTGAAAAAGTGCATCAATATACATAAATTGAAGATGCATCAATAATCGTTTTATAATCGAATCGTTGACCTCTGAATCGTAATCGAAATCTAATCGTGAGGTGCCAAAAGATTCCCACCCCTTTCACTCTCTCCACTATAGAGCTGCTGATGCGGAGTGATGTGTGCTCAGGCTGTGACCTCCCGAAGTCGATGATTATTTCTTTCATCTTGTTGACATTAAGCACCAGGTTGTTGTCTCTGCACCAGCCCTCTTGATGTTTGATCTCCTTCCTGCACATTGCTTCCTTATTTCCATTTATGATTCCCACTATAGTGGTATCATCCACAAACCTGGCCATCAGCTTCCACTTGTGTCTGGCTGTTCAGTCACGTGTTAGTGAGTACGCAGCCTTAAGTGGATCCAGTGCTCAGCGTGATTGATTTGGAGATGCTATTTCCAACCCGCACTGACTGCGGCCTCTGAGTCAGAAAGTCTAGGACCCAGGAAAATGTGGTGGTGTTAAGGCCGAGTAGAAGAACTTTCTCGATTAGACTGGGGAATTATGGTGTTGAATACTGAGCTTAAATCAATGCAAAGGATTCTGGGGTAGGTATGTCTGGGCGGGAGAGTACTGTGTGCAGTGTGGTGGATGTTGCATCCTCTGAGGAGCAGTGTGGGCGATAAGCAAATTGGAGAGGATCCAGTGATGTGGAGAGGCTAGCTGTGATGTGAGGTTTGACACAAAACACTTCATCACTGTTGGGGTTAGTGCAACTGGTCGGTCGTCATTCAGAACGGTCAGTTGGTTGCTTCACAACCAGGATTATTGTAGAGGTTTTGAAATATCCAGGGATGATGGCTTGGCTGAGGGACATGCTAAAGATGTCTGTCAGAACATCTGCTAACTGGGCAGCACATACCGTGAGCACACACCCTGAGATGTTACCAGGACCTGCTGCTTTACTTGGGTTAGGGTCCTCCATGTGTTCGCAAATTTGATGATAAAAGCTGGTGGGTCAGATGGTGGAGGGGGGTGGTGTCTAGTTTCATATTTCAAAGCATGCAAAAAAGTTGAGTCCGTCTGCAAGGGTAGTGTTACTGTCATCAACCTGTTCAGAACCTGATGTGTTTTTTTCTGATCTGGTGCGTTTGAGCAAGGGTTTATGCTGATGATGGGGGTTTATGCTGTTTATGGTGATGATGGGGGAGAGGGGTTGCCTTATAAGTGTTCACTGCTCTGGTTTCAAAGTCCACTTATCGCTTGAATTTGGGGAACAGTCTTCCTGGCAATCACCACAAAGCTGTCTGGATGTTTACTCAGTATCTCTCATTGGTGTTAGCTTAAAAGTTAGCACTGGGAGCTACATAAACAGCTGCTACAACCACAGTGGAGAATTCCCTCGGCAGATAAAACAGCGGATATGTCACGCTGAGACATTCTGCTACTGGAGAGCCGTTGCAGTAACACACCAGTCTTTGTTGATGTAGATGCACAGACAACCTCCAAGGCTGTTACCAGAACTAGCTGCCTCTCTGTTGGCATGGAACACCGTCAACCACTCCAGCTGTATGGCTGCATCCTGTATGTTGTCTTGGAGCAAGGACTCCAAACACACAGCAGTCTCACTCCCTGCGAATTTCTCTCAGCAGAGGTAGTTCATTCAGCATGTTATCAAGGGAACGGATATTTGAGAGCAGAAGCGATGGTAGTGCTGATCTGGTGAGGATAGTTCTCACCGCCGCCACTTCCTTCTCTCCCAAGTCACGTTTGGGCCTGGTATGTGATAGAATTCCATATTGGCATAATGTGTTCATATTAAATTGAATCTCTGCATGCTCCACCCTGATGTTTGGTGACATATCCCAACAGTAAATTTTGCATTTAGGATGCTGCATATGTGCGTGCCACCATCTTAACTCAGATTGAATGCCTTATACACCTCAGGCCAAGGAAGATGTTGAAAGAACCATTGGATTGGTAACAATTCCAATTCTAAGGAATGGAGCATGAAGACATGCTTCGAGCCAGTAGACCCTCTTCCTCAGAGGAACTGAATCACCGCCCATTCGTGTCACAGAAGGTGGGGCGAGGCTCTGGTGACAAAACCAGATCACAAAGTCCCATCCTGTGTTGGAGGGCAGATATGGCTGAAGGTGTTTGAACATCCTACACTCACTGCAGTTAAAGATAAGTGTGAAATATCTGACAACAATTTCTATTCCTAGCTAAAGTTAACCAGGAGCCCTACATCAGACTAGCCACTGTTTACAAGTTGGTTTTCTTTAGAAGAACAATGACTGAGCTCTTTTATGAGAAATTCTATGCTGAGGGGTTTAGATGGAGAAAATTCAGGAACACTTGTGGGCTGTGTATGTTGCCCACCATGCAAAGTATCCAGTGGGAAGGACCGGGCTATGCTAAAACAAGTTTTGAGGAGCACGTTTAAAGGCAAGTTTTGCAAAGGAGTGAAAGTTATGGATGTTTATTTCTGTAGGAAATGTACAGTGGCAATGCTGCCAAGGATCATCTGCATCATCCAGTGCAACCTTGTTTGCGGATGGGACAGTAAGTAGATGATGCTGTGTACTGTGTGTACTACTTGAGATGAAAAGGGGGGAATGGGGCAACAGCCATCTGCATCACCACTATATTCAATGTTAGGAGTTCCTGAAGCAACAGACAGGTCCGCATCACTACAAGACTTGATCGTTCCACTCACACTTTTCAACCAAATGGGGCGATAACTATCAGTACGGCCAATTCATACAACAGTCTAAAATCTTGAAGCATAAGACAGGTTGCTAAAAAACAACCCAGGTGAGGTATCTCCTGCCAGACTCTGAGATTCTTGGCTGTCTCAGCTGCTCCGCCAAGCGGTCTCTGAGGCTTGCCTTATGACCTCTTACATGGCCAGGTGGTGAGCCCACTACTTTACCACTAGTGGTACGCGGGGCTCCCTCTAGTGGTACGCCAAAGAATCACTGAAATAAATATAAATAAACATGAAATACTATCAAACATATTAGAATGGATGAAAATATATTATCAACTGCTGGCAAGAAAATGAAAAGAGATACAAATTAAGTTACGACTTTTAAAAAGTTTGCAAGTGCTTCTGGGTAGCAGTAGCTATGTAGCGCCAAACTGCCGTTGACGTTGACATCAACAGTCATTCACGGTAGCTCTTACAGGCAAGAAGTGATGGCAAGAATTGGAGGTTTTTAATAATGAAGACGTCTAAACTACTGTCGTGGCTTCAGTCTGCGAAGAGAAGTGTGGGCCAGGAGAGAGCGAGAACTGAAGAGTGTGGGCAGGGTGCAGGTGCACACAGCAGCTACTTTGGTGGCGCCAGCGAAGCCCCCAGAGCAGCCCGCAGCGCAGCCGGCAACGAAGCCTGCAGCGAAGCCTGCAGCGAAGCCCGCAGGCTCAGACCGCGGTGCAGGGTCTGCCGGCGGCGGCGAGGGGGGACTATGGGGCTGTGAAGCACGCTGTCCTGGAAAGACTGGGCCTCACGCCAGAGGACCATCGCCGGAGGTTCCGGGACGCCAGGTTGGGCCAGCGGACCGCCCGTTTACAATTGCGCAGCAGCTGCGGGACGCAGCGAGACGGTGGCTGCAGCCAGGGGGACTGGACGGGGAAAAAACAATGCTGGAGAAAATAGTGTTGGAACAGCTGGTGGAGGGCCTTCCGGACCGGACCGCGGCGTATGTGCGCTGCCATCGGCCAGCGACGCCACCTCGTGGTTCATCCCTGCGGTCAAGGGGGGGGGGGCAGCCGCCCGCCCACGCCGACCCACCAGACTCCAGCCCCAGTCCACCGGCGCGCCACCCTAACCAATGTCTTTATTGTCCCCCACAGGTCCCAACCTCTACGGGGGCCAATCCTAACCCACCGGGGACTCCTCGAATGTCTGGGCAGGAGTGTTGGAAGTGCGGGCAGCCCGGACACTTTCGTGAAGCATGTCCTCTCATGGCAGGTGATTCGGGTTGCCGGCGCTGCAACATCCTCCCTCGATTCAGGAGCGACATACCGCATTCCGGTAAGGATTCAGGGGGGTGTACATCGGGCTATGGTGGATTCTGGCTGCGCGCAGTCAATGATTCACCAGACCCTGATCGGGGCATTGATGGAGGCATGCTGGGTGAATATTAAATGTGTGCATGGGGATATTCACAAATACCCATTGGTGACAGTTGAAATTAGACATCAGGGGAAAAAGCATAAAATCAAGGTCGCGGTTAGCTCCCGCCTGACGCGCCCCCTGATCCTGGGGACTGATTGGCATGGGTTTAACGCAATAGTGGGGCAGTGAGCGGGGGCGCATTCATGACAGACAGGGACATATGACGTGTGCGCGGCGCTCAGTGGTTACACGAGGTTGTTCGACACTGCTGACAGGAGGGGGAACCTGCGTCACCTCCTCTGGACGCACCGCTGGTACCCGAACTACACTCCATGGAAGATTTTCCACTCGAGCAGTCTCGGGATGATACTCTACGATTTGCCTTCGGCCGCGTAATAACAATTGATGGCCACAAGGTGCGCCCTGACACCGAGCAGGCTTTTCCCCTATTTTTCACTGATTAGGGACAGGCTGTACAGGGTGAGTCATGACACTCAGACTGGAGAAGAAATCACCCAGTTGCTGGTGCCTAAAAGCCGTCGGGAAATGGTTTTCCAGGCGGCTCATTATAGCCCAATGGCTGGTCACATGGGGGTAGATAAGACACAAAACCGGATAATGACCCGATTTTATTGGCCTGGCATTCAAGGGGACGTGCGCCGCTGGTGTGCGTCCTGTCGCGAATGTCAACTGGTGAATCATCCAGCAATTCCCAGAGCACCTCTGCACCCATTACTTTTGATGGAAGTTCCATTTGAATGCATTGGTATGGACCTCATCGGTGGACAAAACTGCTGCTATCGTGGCCTGTCCGCGGCCCAAGTCCAAAAAGGAAGTGAGGCGGTTTGTGGGGCTGGCAGGTTACTACAGGCTGTTTATCCGTTTGTGGACCTGACCAGTCGGCTGACCGACCTGACCCAAAAAGGTACCCCAGATCCGGTCCAGTGGTCAGAGCAGTGCCAGCAGGCGTTCGAGAGGGTGAAACAAGTCCTCTGTGGGGAGCCACTTCTCCACACCCCTAACTTTTCTCTCCCCTTTGTCTTGCAGACCGATGCGTCGAACAGAGGGCTGGGGGCCGTTTTGGCCCAGACGGTAGGGGGTGTCGACCGCCCGGTGGTGTACATCAGCCGGAAATTGTCAGAGAGAGAAGCCAGGTACAGCACTGTTGAGAAAGAGTGCCTGGCAATCCGGTGGGCGGTCGACACTCTGCGCTATTACCTCCTGGGACGCTCATTCACCCTCTGTTCGGATCATGCTCCGCTGCAGTAGCTCCACCGCATAAAAGATGCCAACGCGCGGCTCACCCATCACACCATTTCAAGGTGATCCATAGGCCGGGGGCACAGATGGTCGTGGCAGACTTCCTCTCCCGCTCAGGGGGGGGGGGGGGGGGTTAGGCCGGATGACTCCCCGGCCTGAGTCGGGCGGAGGAGGTATGTGGTAGTGGGGGGTGGTTAGTGTCGGTGGCAGGAGGGAGAGAGTGGGCNGTCGACACTCTGCGCTATTACCTCCTGGGACGCTCATTCACCCTCTGTTCGGATCATGCTCCGCTGCAGTAGCTCCACCGCATAAAAGATGCCAATATCTGGCTTTGCAACCCTTCCATTTCAAGGTGATCCATAGGCCAGAGGCGCAGATGGTTGTGGTAGACTTCCTCTCCCGGGGGGGGGGGGGGGAGTAGGTTAGGCCGGATGACTCCCCGGCCTGAGTCGGGCGGAGGAGGTATGTGGTAGTGGGGGGTGGTTAGTGTCGGTGGCAGGAGGGAGAGAGTGGGCAGGTGGTTCAGGGATTGGTGCCAGGGAGAGAGTCTGATTGTGTACAGGTGTACTGCGTTGGCTACTCTCTCCCCTCTTATATTAGTAGTAGCATGCTGGGACACGGCTCTCGACCACACACACACACGAGGAGAGGCTGGAGGCAACTCGGAGAAGCCCAGAAAAAGAACACTGTGATATGCATGTGTATATGTGTATGCAAGCAATAAAAGAGATTAACTGAATACCGACTTGCATCATCTGTGACGAGGAACCCGCCGCGGTGTCACGAGCCTGCTACACTGCTAATTCACAAACAGCTCAGATATATAAGAGTTGAGCTGTTGGTGAATTGGTGTGACTGATAAAAGTAACCAACTCACACAGGGGTTCCTCGGTTGGGGGTTCATTAGTGGAAGCAGGGTAGACAATTGGATGAAGGCAACTTAATTAGTCTTAGAAACCTTATTTGAATAATGTTTTTTGTGGAGTTGACTATCCACCCCTGTACTGGGGCAATAATGGGATCTAATAATTTGTATCATCTGAATTCCCTTTGTAGGACGAGCCCAAAACAATGTTTACTTTTTCTAGATAGAGGAAAATAGACATCAGTCAGGGCATGATGTGAGAAGTCAAAGACTAACTTACCAGAGAATATGATAGGGGAAAGGCATGTCTGAAGAGGAGCTCAAAAATATCTCGTCTGCTGTGGCCCTCCTGCTTCAGGGCAAACCTCAAGTTCCTCATGTCCTAAAGAGAAAGTCAGAGAAAGTGATCATCAATGCACATTCACAAACACACAAAGAGCATACATAAACACAAACAAATGTATTCATGACATGTTTTTCCTTCATAGAGAATTGGGGAGCAGCCGCCTCCGTCAGCATTCGTGCACTCTCTTTACCTCTCTCGCTCTTGCTGACGTGCAGACAGCCAGACACACGTACTCACACACACAAACAGTGTCATCGGACAAATGTGTAAACTCAGACTGCCTAAGTTCACAAATTCTATTGTTTCTAACCAATGTATGAAGAGTCAGAGGAGATGGCTGTGCATGCTTGGTTTGGCTCAATTAAGTTGACAGTGCACAGCACAAATGATAGGCACAGAGAGGAGCAGTAAATTACTAAATTAACACTTTAAGTGGACTATTTGATCACTATAACCGAATTATACCACCCTTGCCTATTTTTGGTCAGGAAAAACCCTATATATGCACTCCTGTAACTTTCACCAACAACCAAAAAAGGGATGACCATGATGTGCTCAATCCAATGGTAGGCATCACATTACCGTTACTTGTTGCTAGTAGGTGGTGCTATGAAAATGTTGAATTTTGGCATGTGCATGTTGTCACAACAGTTCAAAGTAAAGTCTTTTTACATATATGGTCAAGTTGGAGAAACTACTGTTTCAAAGCGAAATGTCAAACTTTAAGATCACTCCACATACAAACAGTTCCACGAAACCTGATGAAGAGCAAAACTTTTCATCTTGAAGGTGCTTAGATTACATTGACCCAATATAAAGCTGATCCGATTAATCCTCTAGGAGTTTGTTAAAGGCCCCATATTGTGAATAACACATTTTCTGGGATTTTTTTTAATCATTAAACACTTGACGGTGGTCAGGAAATAACGTCAAAGTATGAAAACAGTCAACCCTTTAAGTTTTTCAGCAGTCTGTCCCTGGAAATGTTGCCTTGAATAAGCTCATTGTTAGATTCCATTTTTTATGACACAACAGACCATTAGGCCCTGCCCACGTTCTACCCTCAGCACACCCAGCCGGCTCCCAAGTCCAGCCTCCAACAAACCCCATTTTACTATTGCCATAATGTTACTATTCAAGACCAGAGGTTAATTTTTTTTATAAGTGCCAGAGCATTTCAGTAAGAATTTGTTGGTGTAATGGGCTTATTTCACCACTGACTGCTTCCACAACCTAAAACAGTACAACTCCAGTTTCTCCAAGGGGTTAACCCTCAAAGATACAGCAGACCCCACACTGCTTACCCCGGCTCAAGATCCCCAACAAGTAAGTAAATTAATGAATGATGACAATTCACTATTAACGCTCTTGTTGTGGTCTTGCAATGCTAATGCTAAGTGTTTGGCTAAAGTAAGCACAGGAAGAACAGTCACATTGTTGTTCCTAGCATTGGTTATTCTTTACCAAATCAACACTAACAATATGTTTGCTATCTACTTTGCTGCTGTTTGTTCAACTCTTGCTATCCCCAAGCTATGGTTACATCATGTGTACCGCTGCTGAGACAGCTGCATCTTTGCTAAACAAAGGAAAATAAAAGTGGAGAATCAGTAGGTGGGGCTATGACCCTGACTTATTTTAACCCATGGAGCTATTCAGGCCGCATCTCTGATCATAGGTTTTAATTTTGGTGCCGATTGGACAATGTACAGTGGAGTTAAAGACAACTTAATTTTCACTCTGTTCAGTACGTGGAGCTATGAACCTGAGTTAATATTGACATATGGAGCTGTTCAGGCGTGGACTCTGATCTTAGGTGGACTTTCTGCCTAGAAACGTTCATGAAAGTTTACTTACTGTTAGTGTGATGGATACCGTTTCACGATGTTAATTTTGCATTTTGGAATATGGACCTGCTCTAACTATCTAATTTCTGCTTGGAATTGTTTTTCATAGTTTCCTGAAAAGGCTAATTTATTGTTAAACTGATGTTTTTTTCATTTTACTACATTCTTGTGAAGTGCTCTTGAAGATATAAACAGGTCACCTCACTGTTACTCTGAATACTATTTGACTATTTTCAAATTCTTTTCTACATTTGTGGATACGGACATGTCACAAAAACACTCATTTTTTATTTAGTTTTTTTCTATAAATTTTACATTTCTGTATCAAGCTTGATAGCCTTCCTGTGTTTTTGAATGGAATGACAGTCTGGAACTAATTATGTAAAGTGAAAGAAAAGAGATACATGTGTGACTGGTTGATTACCTGTGGAAATATACATTACTGTTATTATTTTTTATTCAGAAAATAATCTATATTCTGTGCGGCCCTCACACCCCTGTGATTTTCTTATTTGGCCCACTTGCTAATGCTTATAGAGCAAAGCACATCTAATTCAATGATCATGGTTTTGTTGCAAAAGTGCTGTCTGCATCTAATGTTTGTGCCTACATTGTTTTGACCATACAAACAACATTTATTTTAGTAGTCTGATTACAATGGTGCCTCCATAAGAACAGTTTATTTGAGGATTTTCAGTCAGGATTTAGAGTGCATCATAGCACAGAGACTGCCCTAGTCAAAGTTACAAATAGGACTCATCTCTGTACTTGTCTTATTAGATCTCAGTGCTGCATTCGACACCATTGACCATCAAATTCTTTTACAGAGACTGGAACATCACATTGGCATCAAAGGAACCGCCTTAAGCTGGTTTAAGTCCTATTTTTTAGATCGATCCCAGTTTGTTCATATCAATGACGAATCCTCCGTACATACCAAAGTTTGTCACGGAGTCCCACAAGGTTCTGTGTTAGGACCACTTCTATTCAGTTCATATATGATTCCTTTAGGGAACATTATTAGGAATCACTCCATTAATTTTCATTTTTATGCTGATGACACCCAATTATACTTATCGATCAAGCCATCAGTTAAATAAACTTCAAGAATGTCTTAAGGATATAAAAAGTTGGATGACCTACAATTTTCTGATGCTAAATTCAGACAAGACTGAAGTTCTTGTAATTGGACCCAAAAACCTCAGAAACTCTTTCTATAGACTTAGTTACTTTAGACGGGATCACCCTGGCCTCCAGCTCCACCGTTAAGAATCTCGGAGTTGATTTTTATCAGGATCTGTCTTTTAATGTCCATATAAAACAAATTTCAAAGACTGCTTTCTTCCACTTACGTAACATCGCCAAAATTAGACACATTGTATCTCAAGCAGATGCAGAAAAATGAGTCCAAGCATTTGTTACTTCAAGGCTGGACTATTGCAACTCTTTGTTATCAGGTTGCTCCAATAAGTCTCTTAGGACTTTGCAGCTAATTCAGAATGCTGCTGCACGTGTGCTAACAGGAACCATGATCAGAGATCACATCTCTCCCATTTTGGCTTCTTTAAGTTGGCTACCGGTTTAATCCAGAATAGAATTTAAAATTATCCTCCTTACATACAAAGCTCTTCATGGGCAAGCACCATCATATCTYAAAGAGCTCATAGTACCCTCCTACCCCTCCAGAACACTACGCTCTCAGAATGCTGGGTTCCTTGTGGTTCCCATAGTCTCCAAAAGTAGATTGGGAGCCAGAGCTTTCATTTATCAAGCTCCTCTTCTGTGGAACAAACTACCATTTTTGGTTCGGGAGGCAAACACGGTCAACACTTTTAAGAGTAGACTTAAGATTTTCCTCTTTGATAGAGCTTATAGTTAGGGCTGGCTCAGGTCATCCCTTAGTTATGCTGCTATAGGATTAGACTGCCGGGGGACACCCCCCCTCTCTCTTTATTATCATCCCCATCTCTAAACATACATGTCTCATTAATGCATGTTACTAACTAAACTTCTTCCCTGGAGTTTCTGTGCTCTCTCGTCCAGCAGGTTCTCATGGATCATGGCTGCTCCCTATATTGGATCGTGGTTCCCACTACTGCCTTGGCCCTGCCTGACATCCACTCTTGTTATTACTATTAGTCATAATTCCATGACATTAATATTAACTTGTTTATTATTGTAGCATTGTTACATATTACCACCACTGCTACTGTAATTAATGTCTCTCATTTGCTTTGTTCTGTACATGTGACATCCATTGCACGTCTGTCCGTCCTGGGAGAGGGATCCCTCCTCTGTGGCTCTCCCTGAGGTTTCCTCCACCTTCTTTTCCCTGTTAAAAGAGTTTTTTGTGGGCAAGTTTTTCCTCACTTGAACCGAGGGTCTAAGGACAGAGGGTGTCACTACCTTTACAGATTGTAAAGCCCTCTGAGGCAAAATGTGTTCTGTGAATTTGGGCTATACAAACAAAATTTGATTTTGAATGGTGTCTACATACCTATTTTCATATATTTACGTGAAATGTGCCACTGGTGTTGCTTTGTTGAAATTTCGTATTGGGCGCTATCGAGCCCACACCCATATGCAAGAACCATATTGGAATTTATTGCCTTTTTTTTTAC